GTGTTTTGGAAAGCTCTCGAGGTCAGCTACATGAATATGTAATAAAAAAATAGAGGATGCCATTTTAAAAAATTGAGGTAATCTTCATGTGACTTTCAAATAATTCTTCAAGGTCAAAACAATGGTACCGTCTTATGGTCCCCTCGAAACCAAACAACTTTTGTTTAAAAAATTTTTCTCTCCCGGGCTTGGTTTTCGAAATATTCGACTGGGCCGATTAANCACCTTGTATATAGCGCGAGATGTTCGTCGAAGAACAAATGTATATAATAAAGAAGACCGTTTTAGTAAGCCGAACCGAGAGTTATTATTTCATTATTATTATTCATTTGAATGTACCGCCCGAGAACAAAAGAACGGCAACATTCGGTGGATAATGTGTGTTTTATCGAAATTTTATAGTCAAATTTCCTTACAATACATTGATCTTTATACTTGGACAATCGCCTTGCCAATATTTTGGCCACGCATCATACCGATGAAAGCGTCGAACATATTTTCAAAACCTTTCGTGATAGTCTCTCGATAAGTGAGCTTGCCTTCCTGAATCCATTGAAGATTCTGCTGGATCCCTTCTAACCAGCGGTCCTTCCAACGATTCACGATAAAGCCTTCCATCTTTAATTGATTAAACAACAGCGCTGGTTGGAGGATCGTGCACTGCGGCAAAGATGTAATGTCCGCGTCATACGATGAAATGCTGCCACATACAGCTACCCGGCCAAATAGTCTCATTTGATATAAAACTGCATTCGAGATATCTCCGCCGACCTACGAATAAAACAAAGTCTAACAAGGAATATTAGTAAATTAAGTAAGCCCGAGAAAATTTTGACAAACAAAGAACAAAGAACTGTTCTTTTCATCTTTTGCCACATTTCTTTCTATAGGACTTTTCATAACTTTTTGGAATCCCGAGAACGATTAATACTGCGATTTGATAAAATCAGTATCTTCATAAAATATTAGGTTGGTGCATATGAAATGTCGGATTCTTAAGT